TTGATATAGTGTGGTGTGATACAGTATGGTGTGATACACTATGGTCTGATAAAGTATGATGTGATGCATGTGATGTCCGAGACGGTGTAGTATGACACAGTATGCTACGACTTGTCAGTGTTGTTTGTAACAGTGTGACATGTGGTTTTGTGCATTTGTTGTGATGTGTGTAGTATGATGTAGTTTGGTGTGGCATGTCTTTTCTTCAGTATGGTGTCATTTTAGGTTGTGTTCTGCGACAAAATATGGCATGGTGTGTCTGGTGTGAGATTGTGTGGTTTCGTATGGTGTGACACAACTTTTTGTACGGTGTGATAGGTGTGACATAGCATGGTATGTTATGTGATGGTGTGGCATGGCATGGTGTGGTATGGCATGTGTGATATGTCATGGTGTGGCATGACATGGTGTGGCATGGCATAATGTTGCATTGCATGGTTTCACCTGTCATGGAGTGCCATGTCATGGTGTGTACTGTCGTGGTGTGGCATGGCATGTTGTGGCATGTCATGGTGTGGATGTCATGGTGTGGCATGTCGCGATATGGTATAATATGGCGTGTGGTGTGGTGTGTCATCGTGCTTTCTGCAGACTGGCAGTAGCTGGAGGGGAGTGGAGCACAGTGGAAGGCAAGGAGAACAGTATGGGAGGAAGGAGGGAATAGGGTGACCGGAGGATTGTGTTGTGGCATGTGGCAAGCATGTTTGCCTCAGCTGCCATCCCACGCATCCAGTGCCTCATGGCACACTGCTGCTGGTCATAGCCGTATATTAGGTTGGTCGTAGAAATATTTTTTGGGTTGCGAAGCAACCTATTACAATCGTTATGTACAATTTTTTTTTCATCGTTATGAAAAAAAAATAGCGAATCGTGGCTAAGTGATTCAGTGCTGTGTATTTGCCACGACAATTTCCTAGGTAGTTCGCCTTGACTGGTAACCTATACTTTATCGATGAAACATAAACATGACTTGCCAAAATGATGTACCGTAACTGTGAATGCGTGACCGTTTATTCGGTAATGCATATGCCGTAAAAAATAATGTATAGATGAAGTATAATGATGATTGAGTGCAAAATGCATAAATATACATGCATATACGACTGTGGTGAATATACATGTGCTCTGTTTATTTCGGTATAGGTCCGGTGCAGTGAAATGAATGCATGGCATGATGGAAATGCGTGACAGTTAATTGACCCAGACCTTATGCTACCGCATCCCCTGCCTAGCATGGGGGGGAAGTCGATAGCATAGTTCCTGAATCATCCAACTGTTACATGAAACAACACAATCTGTGTAAACTAAAAAAATGATCAAAATCCATCAAATCCAGTTCAAGTGAACACACTCACTGAGTGGGCAAAGAACCTTCTCGGAAATGATAGCTTGACCATTTTTTTAAAATCCACAGATACGCATTGTTAATGCAATAGCAGGTGGATATGTATGAATATGCACACAGAGACACATACGCACACACGCACATACCGATATGCACACACAAAGACGAGTCACAATCAGAAAATGAACCTAAAAGAAATCTAACATAACAATGCAGTAGCATCAATCATTAACATTTCAAACAAAAATCAAACAAAATCCTTTTAATTTCCACATTAGCCTCCGAACGTTATAGCGAAGACCCTGGGAGGGAAACGGGGGGAAACGTAGTGGGAAGGGAAAGGAACGGGGCAGAAGGGGCAGAAAAAAGGACGGAGGCAGAGACACATTAGAGAACTACGATACGACGGAATTACAGGATTTGAAACGTAGGCAGGTGGGGAAGAGAAGTACAAAGGAGAATAACGAATAAAAATACCAGATGTGATAATAACCGCATAGAGGAAACGCAATAATCTGGGCAAGGAAAGAAGAAAACATAAATGAGCTCGTATATAGTAGCGTTTTGATAGATACATAAACGAGCGAAAGAGTTTGACAGAGAGACAGAGAGAGAGAGAGAGAGAGAGAGAGAGAGAGAGAGAGAGAGAGAGAGAGAGAGAGAGAGAGAGAGAGAGAGAGAGAGAGAGAGAGAGAGAGAGAGAGAGAGAGAGAGAGAGAGAGAGAGAGAGACTTCAATAAACTATGGCTTCTAAAAAAACATTCGTAGACTTATGAAAGACATATTCAAAAACCGCACGAAGGTAGGAGTGGAACCAATACGGAAGGAAGATAACATGCAATACGAGGACTATACGCGAGATGCGAGGAGAAGAAACATTGCAAGAAATGAGACAGAAAGAGCCTGTAAGTATGACAGAAAAAAACACACACACACACATAACTACGAGAAGATGGGGCACAGATACTAGAAAAACCGAAAGAAGAGCGTCTAAGCTGATAAGAATAAAAAGGAAGGAGGAAAACGACATGATAGAGAAATGAGAGGATAGTTCTAGGAGTTAAGAGCGTGAGCAGCACAGTTGGACTTACGGGAGAAGACACATTATTTAAGAACGACCTAACGGTTCCGTCGAAATGGACGATATCCTTAAAAACGATTAAGTTTCTAGATAACTTAGAACTTACTGGTTCAAATTAGAGAAAAGAACATGAACGAAACTGCTCCTAATATTTTCTTGAAGTCTAAAAAGAACTAGCAGACGTTAGTACGTACGCTAGTCCTTAAATTCTTACCTAGTAAGTATATGACTGCTGCAGTCGTAGGAGGAGCGGGAGTTGAGGGAGACGCGGGAGGAAACTAGGGCATTGACGATCCAGAAAGTGTCGAAATGTTGGGAAAGGAATTCAATTTTCGGCTTCAATTTAACTCCCTTTTAAAATTTCCCGGAAGTTGATGGTAGTTCTGTTAGCGCAGTGGTTCGAATGTTCTTTGAATCCAATGGTCTCGGGTTCGGTTCTTGCCGCGGCCTTCTGTATCAATGCAACATTTTCAACAAGTGCGTGTTGTTTAATTTTTACCCCCCGAAGTTAGTTGTGGAAGCACAGTGGTATGGATAATCAGAAGCCGATGGTCTCCGGTTCGATTCTTGCTGCTACCTTTTCATGTCAACACAATATTGGATATGTGTCATGTCTAAGAAATCTAGGAAAGTACGTAGTAGAACAAAATATATTATTTACAAATAAGCTTCGCAACCCTATGTCGACTTGGTCGCCTCTTATTCCCTATGTCGACAAAATATATTATTTTTTTTACATTCATCTCCACTCAAACGGATGTTTCGTGATTGCATATTGAATTTATGTACGTTCTGGTTCTTAAAGCAAAAGATTTTTTTATCCAATGTGCAAATAAACCGTCTGTGCAAATTAGTAGTGTTATTTTGATGTAATCTGTAATGGTTTTGCTGAACAACCAGCAGTCTGAGCTATGTTGAGGTAGTTACCAACGACTGTTCTAGAAGATTGTATTTGGAAGCGCTTATCGCGTACGATTCTCCCACCCACCGCCAAAACGCCTGGGCAGACAACCTCGAGACGTTTCAAAATTCGAACAACGCGAGTTGTTCCAGCATTTTCCAGCTGCTCCTAGAAACTTCACAACTCGATGCTCTTGGCGGGGTTGTTCATCAGAGCGAGCTCTGGTGCTCCAGACGGATCCCGTGCATTCCAGAGCCATGGCCTCTCAAATCTCTAGCCTTCCTTACGCTTCGAGCGAACCGCCTTATGCTTTCGGGCTAGCAGTTGTTTCTATAAAGCTGGAGGATTTTACACCCTGGTGTCATAAAAACATCAACAGCGTTCTTCAAACACAGCTCTCACAAGCTACCTCTCGTACGCTCTTAACAGCTCTTTCACAGCTTCTCAGCAATTTCCGTCGCTTGGAATTTCGAGTGTTTCGGCCAGTTCACAGCACAAGTACGCAATGGCGCTCACATTACTCAGTACCGACCCGACGCTCAACTCACTTCTTAGGCTGTCGCACATCCCAGACGAGTTCAGCTCTCTCTTCGACGCTCCGACGTCGAATTTCGTGAGAGACAGCAACGCGATGGCGTGTACAGCCGTCGACGTCAAGGAGACTCCTGAGGCTTTCAAGTTCATCGCGGATCTTCCGGGACTGAAGAAAGACGAGGTCAAGGTCCAAATCGAGGATAAGAATCTGCTCACCATCAGCGGCGAGCGGAATCGCGAAGTCACGGAAAAGACGGAGAAATATCACCGCGTGGAGCGGAGCACTGGCAAGTTCTTGAGGCGATTCCGTCTTCCTGATAACGTGGAAGTGAATAAGATTGCTGCGAGCTCGGAGAATGGTGTGCTTACCGTGACTGTGCCGAAGATCAAGCCACCCGAGCCGAAGAGGCCAGCTGTTGTAGATGTCCCCATCAACTGAAGGAAAGTCGGCCATTGTAGATATTCCCATAAACTGTAGTAGGTGAATGACCGGACTGGAGACGTGGGGTTGTACCTGTGTCCTTGTACTGTGGTTGAATTGACGTGAAGACTTTATTGCTGGTTGTGGTTCCTCTGTTACCGTACCTGCAGGTGCTGGGTGGGGTAGTAATGTTGAGCGTGGGGGTCTGTTGTGCTGCTGAATCTTGAGATAATGTCAACTACTAGTAGAAGATTTGTGCAGCCGTTGACCAGCCCATTCCACATGCAATGAACCCATTAGTAACAGCATTAATTGTGAAAATCCACTGACAACTGGGAAACTTTGAACAAATCACACAGGAACAAACTCAGTGCTGTACTGGGTGCTCAGCTGCACCTAAACAAAGCTATAAATGACCAAGTAACTGTAACGAACGCTAAGGGTGCACGCACGATGGGCAACCATACGTGCGGATCACAGCAGATCAGGGTAGGATTCTGCCCTCTATTTGTACTTTGTTAACCAGCGAAGGGCAGAACCCTTCAGAGGGCTTAGCTAGCAAACCACTGGGCTTATACACTCCCACCGAGTCACTTTCCATGCCGATGTTGTTTGGTTGAGACGTCCCAAATCTAGATAGGGCAGAAACACTGATTTCCAAACAGGCAGCTGCAAGCGCAGGTGCCCTGAAGGTCCTTGTTTATACACTCCCACCGAGTCACTTGCCACTCTGACGACAGGGTTTTGCGTTGACAGTCTCAAAGCTAGGTAGGGCAGTAGCACTGGTTGCCAAAAAAGCAGCTGCAAGCGCAGGTGCCCTGAAGGTCCTTGTTTATACACTCCCACCGCGTCACTTGCCATGCCGCCGGGGGTGGTGGCGAGGGAGGGGGCGGAGAGGGAGGAGGAGGAGGAGGCGGGTTGGGAGGCGGAGAGGGGGGAGGAGGTGGGGGGGAAGGAGGCTGGGGAGGAGGAGAGGGAGGAGGGGGGCCCGCTGCAGGTTGGCACGGGAAAAGGGGAATGGGGGTGGAGGGGGAGAGGAGTGGAAGAGGAGGGGAAGAGGAGGGAAAGAGGAGGGCAAGACGAAAGAATACGGAGGGGGAGAGGAGGGAAAGAGGGAGGGGAAGAGGAAGCGAGAGAGGTTGAAATGTTTGGTGAGCGTGCGTTTGAGGGAGTGTAAAAGTGAGGCACAAGCAAGAAAGGCTGTGAGAGCAATGCAACAGAAGGGGTCAGACTTACCGGTAGTCACATGACGACCCACACTTCAGATGAGAGGGTGGAAAGAAGAAAACAGGGAAAAAAAGGCTCGGAAAAAGGGAAACACGATAGTGAAACTTCCACTCAAGAAGAGAAGTCAGAGAAGCAACTTACGCTTTCGAATGCATGTCAAGCCGTCTGCAGATAAGGTATACAGCAGAGTGTTGCAGCTACACTTATACTGCACTGTAGCTGTCCCCGCTGCCGCCGAGACTGTCGCCGTGGCAATACACACCCCTCCGCCGAACCCGCACTGTTCGTTCACAGCCGCACTGTCCGAACCTGAGAAGTTGGTCCGGCAGAAGGCTTGGCACTGAGCCACGGATCGCTGCGGCTGGTCCGGAGGGTAGCTAGGGTCGGTGCAAGGTGGGGAGGCGAGGTAGGAGAGGCAGTTGTTGGTGGTGTTGACAGGGATGGTCTCGGAGGGGCAAATGGGGTTGCTGGCGGCGTCGTATGCGTTGCCACGGCCGAAGAAGAAATAATTGGAGGAGAGGTCGAGAGAGAGGACTGCAGAGGCGGAGGGGAGCGATGGGAGGGGGCCCGTGAGGTAGTTGCGCGATAGGTTGCTGGGGGGGGGGAGGAGAGGGGGGATGGGGGATGGGCATGGGCGAGAATGGGGAGTGAAGGAGAGCAGGATACGCTGGATCGAGGGCAAGGGAACTTGAGTAGTTTATGTGAGAGAGAGAGAGAGGCTGAGTGAGTGGACTTGACAGTGAGAGGTTCTAGGTTGATACTGAGAGTTCCGAAGGTGAGTGAAGGCAGGTTGATAGGTGAGTGAAGGCAGGTTGATAGGTGAGTGAAGGCAGGTTGATAGGTGAGTGAAGGCAGGTTGATAGGTGAGTGAAGGCAGGTTGATAGGTGAGTGAAGGCAGGTTGATAGGTGAGTGAAGGCAGGTTGATAGGTGAGTGAAGGCAGGTTGATAGGTGAGTGAAGGCAGGTTGATAGGTGAGTGAAGGCAGGTTGATAGGTGAGTGAAGGCAGGTTGTCAATGATTGTGGTACATTGACACGTATATGGCAGAGAGAAGGGTATGCTGACACATGGTTACCTCGATGCACAAGCACAAACTTTGCATGGAGATATGCAAAGAGCTGCTGTATCGCGTGAGGCGCTGAACATCAGGCGTACAGATAGGCGAGCGAAGCCATGCTGGTGGTTAGAGAGGCTGGGTTGTTGTTGAAGTTGGCACACAGTTATGTTGGTGCCACAGCAGCAACGTTGCATGAAGATAAAGCAGAGAGAGGAAGTTTGCGTGAGAGGCGAAACAGCAGACATACAGATAGGCGAGCGAGGCCATGCTGGTGATGAGAGCGGCGGGGTTGTTGTTGAAGTAGTTTCCACTCACGTCCCTGTAGGGCGGATGGGTGGGTGGGGTAGGGGGGGTGAAGAGATGGAGGGAATGAGGGAACAGGGAGGAAAGCATGAGGCCATGCTGGTGATGACAGTGGCTGGGTTGTTGTTGAAATAGTTGCCACTCACGTCCCTGTAGGGTGGCAGGGACGGAAGGGAGGCAGGGCGGATCTGAGACAGGTAAATCCCTTCATGGAGCAGCAACAAGTGAAAGAGAGCTTGGACAGGAAGTGAGAGGAGCTCATATGACGAGCATCGCAGGTCACTCACCATTTAGAGAGTGTGAAGAGGGCAGAGAGGGCAGAGCAGCTTACAGGGAGTAGATGGAGGTGCAGAACGAGAGGAGAGGGGGAAGTGAAAGGGGGAGAGTGTGAAGAGGGCAGAGAGGGCAGAGAGTGCAGAGGTGCTTAAGGGAGTAAATGGAGGTGCAGAGCGAGAGGAGAGGGGGAAGTGAAAGGGGGAGAGTGAGAAGAGGGCAGAGCAGCTTACAGGGAGTAAACGGAGGCGCCAAGCGAGAGGAGAGGGGGAAGTGAAAGGGGGAGAGTGGGCAGAAGAGGCAGAGAGGGCAGAGGGTGCAGTGGGTGCAGAGCAGCTTACAGGGAGTAGATGGAGGCGCAGAGCGAGAGGGAGGCTGGGAGGGAGCCTGTGAGGAGATTGTTGGAGAGGTTCCTGTGAGAGTGGTGGGGGATGGTGTGGGGAGGAGCAGGGGGAGCAGGCGGAGCAGGGGGGGCAGGGGAGCAGGGGGGCAGGGGGGGCAGGGGGGCAGTGGGGGCAGGGGGGGCAGTGGGGCAAGGGGGGAGGGAGCCTGTGAGATATTGTTGGAGAGGTTTCTGGGAGGGATGGGGCGAGTGGTGAGGGGGAAAGGAGGAGGAGGGGGAGGAGAGGGAGGAAGGGGAGGAGAGGTAGAGCATGGGACAGGAAGGGAATATGAGGGGGATGTTGAAGTGGGGAATGCCTTTTGTGAGAAAGAAGTGGGGAGGAAGGATGTCTCAAAATATTAGACGGACGAGGCTTGGAGTGAGTGCGAAGAGAGAAGGAACTGACGGAAAAGAGATGTCTGCAATGCGTGGCTAGAGGTGTGCACACGTGACGGGGTGCTTGATAGGAGAGTGTGTGCTGAGAAAAGAAAAGAAGAGAAGGGGCAGACAGAATGGAGAGGTCTGCCAAGTCAGTGTTGCAAAAGGCGGGGATGGTGCCCGTGAGCTTGTAAATTGGCTATCTAGAAACACAGAAGTCTCAAAGAGAGGAGGCACTGACAGAATGGAGAGGTCTGCCATGTCAGTGTTGCAGAAGGCGGGAATAGTGCCTGTCAGCTTGTAAACTGGCTATCTAGAAACACAGAAGTCTCAAAGAGAGGAGGCACTGACAGAATGGAGAGGTCTGCCATGTCAGTGTTGCAGAAGGCGGGAATGGTGCCCGTCAGCTTGTTGTAAGACAAATCACTGTGTGGAGGGGAGAGGGAACGGAAGGGCAGTTCAAGAGAAGAACCAGAAAGAACCACGAGACAGAAGCAGTAGGGGGGAATAGTACCCGTCAGCTTGTTGTAAGACAATTCGCTGCGTGGGAAAAAGGGAAGGTATGGGGTTCAAGGGGAAGACGGAGGGGAACGAGAGTCGAGAGTCATTTGAGGAGAGCAGAAGGCGGAGGGGTTGGTGCCTGTGAGTTTGCTGTATGACATGTCACTGGGTGGGAGGAAGGGAAGGTATGGGAGGAAAGGCATGGGAGGGAAGGAGAGATGGATGGGAGAGAGAGTGGAGGGTCATGTGAGGAGAGCAGAAGGGGGATGGTGCCCGTGAGCTTGTTGTATGACAAGTCACTGCGTGGGAGGAAGGGAAGGTATGGGACAGAAGGAGAGACGGAGGGGAGAGAGAATGGAGGGGGTCATGTGAAGGGAGCAGAAGGAGGGATGGTGCCCGTAAGCTTGTTGTATGACAAGTCACTGCGTGGGGTGAGGGCGAGGGAAGCAAGGTTTGAAGGGAAGAAGAGGGGAGAACGATGCAAGATTAACAGAAGGAGGGGATGGTGCCTGTGAGCTTGTTGTATCACAAGTCACTGCGTGGGAGGTGAAGAGCAAGAAAGTTTCTCAGAAGGCTTTTTTGAGGCGCCTCAAAAAGTTTCTCAGAAGGCTGGGGGAACTACATGCACAACACAGCACACATGTAATGAACTTCAACCCCCCTCCCCTTTCCCTCACACCCCCCACTTCTTCCCCCCACCCTCCCCCTCCCCTCACCCCTCCCCACTCCCCCTCCCCCCAACCCCACACACAGAAGTCAAGAGGTTCCCAACCGCACACCGCCCCTCCCCACCTCCCAACTGCTCACATGTCAAAGAGGTAAGAGAGCTGAGACAGCCCCACAGGGAACACATACCCTCCCCCCTTTCCTTACTCCACCTTATCCCCCCCTCTCTCCCGTCTTCCCCTCACATGTCAAAGAGGTATGAGAGCTGAGACAGCCCCACAGGGAACACATACCCTCCCCCCTTTCCTTACTCCACCTTATCCCCCCCTCTCTCCCGTCTTCCCCTCACATGTCAAAGAGGTATGAGAGCTGAGACAGCCCCACAGGGAGCGAGCCTGTGATGTTGTTGCGATAGAGGGAGCTGGGGGGGCGGGGGTGTGTGTGGGGAAGGGAGGCATGGGGATGGGGAATGTGACCGGGCAGATGGAAGGAAGGAAGAGGAGCGTGTGGGGAGAAGTGATAGGACAACCCCACAGGGAGTGAGCCGGTGATGTTGTTGCGATAGAGGGAGCTGGGGGGGTGGGGGTGTGGGGAAGGGGAAATTAAGTCGCAAGATTGCAAGGACAGGAGTGTGTGGGGGGAAGAGGTATGAGAGCTGAGACAGCCCCACTGGGAGAGAGCTAGTGATGTTGTTGCGGTAGAGGGAACAGGGGAGGATGGGTGAGTGGGAGATGGGGAGGAGGGGGGATGGAGGAGGGAGGGATATGGGAGAAGGAGATCGGGGACAAGGAGAGGAATATGGAAGAAAGAGGAAAGATGGAAGGGAGAGGAGTGTGAGCAGCGAAGAGGTAGGAGAGGTGTGACAGCCGAAGGGGGAGCGAGCAGGTGATGCTGTTGCGATAGAGGGAGCTGGAAGCGTTGGGGGGAAGAAGGGGGAATAGAATGGGGAGCGGGTAGGGGTTGGAGGAAGGATTTGGGGTGAAGAGGAGATGGAGAGGGGGGAGAAAGGGAGGATTGCAGAGGAGAGGAGTGCGTGGGAAAGAGAAGAGGTGAGAGATGCAAGTGAGGCAGTACAGAGAGAGGCATATTGAAGTTGGGGACTTCTCGAGCTATTCCACCATGCCATACAGCCATACACGCACACCCATACACGCACACCCATGCACCCATGTACCCACGCACCCATGCACCCATGCAACCATGTACCAATGTACCCATGCAACCATGTACCCATGCACCCATGCACCCATGCACCCATGCACCCATGCACCCATGCACCCATGTACCCATGCACCCAGCTTTAAACGCACGCACATGGTGTAAAACTATGGACGCACATGGTGTAAGGCTATGGACACACATGGTGTAAGGCTATGGACGCACATGGTGTAAGGCTATGGACGCACATGGTTTGAAGATAGCTGAGTTTGGAGAGCGCTGACGGGAACGCGCCTGTGAGAGAATTGCGGTCCAGTGCTCTGCGGTGTGGAGAGGTGCAGAGGAGTGGAGGGGAATGGACAAATGGAGGGAAATGGGAGAGATGGTAGAAAGGGTGAGGAAAGTGAGAGAGGGGTGGGAGGAAAGAGGGAGGGAGAGAGGAAAGGAGGTAGAGGCGAAGTGGGAGGGAGGGAGGAACGAAAGGGTTTGAGAGGAGGTGACTTTTGAGTCGACTCAAAAGTCGCGAAATGAGAGGGATGAACGAAAGGGTTTGAGAGGATTTGCTGGTGAGGGGATTGCGAATTGGAAAGCTGAGGAATAATGGTGGGGAGCAAAGGGGAGGGAGGGAGGTAAGGAGAAAAAGAGCACTGCACAGAGAGGGGAGGGTTGGGGGGGAGGAATGGTAACGTGTGCCATAATGACAGGTATGCAGAAAGCAGTAATGTTAAACAACTAGGTATGCAACACAATCAGGTTGTGACACTAACAGGTATGTGACACTAACAGGTAAGTGAGTTTTGTAAGAGCGCTGATGACAGGCGGGATCGCACCCGTTAGTTTGTTGTTGGTGCCGCTCCTGGTGGTGGTGAGAGGGACAGTGGAAGGGAGGGAGTGAGGGGAGGGAAGGCAGGTCTATGAGGGGATGTGGGAAAGCGATGGTACGAGTCAGCTTGTTGTTGCTGCCGCTCTTGATGGTGATGGTGATGGTGATGATGATGGTGATGGTGATGGTGATGATGATGGTGATGGTGATGATGATGGTGATGGTGATGGTGGTGGTGGTGGTGGTGGTGATGGTGGTGGTGATGGTGATGGTGACGATGATGGTGATGATGGGGGAGAGTGGGAATGGACCAGTGGAAGCGAGGGAGTGAGATGATGCATGGCAGGCAGGCGTAGGAGAGAATGTGGACAAGGGAGTGAAGGGAGGTGCATAGGCAGAGCATAAGGACAGAAGAGCAAAGATGACATGGAAAAAGGGTTTGTTTCGAGACTTCTCAGAACAGAGGTGACTGATGCAAAGCTAAGGTTATGAGCGTTGAGGTACAAACGGGACGGGAGGGCGGGGGGGCATGGATGGACGAGCACAACACACAGGTAGACGAGGGAGGGTGGGAGGGGGGGAACTTTTGAGTCGACTCAAAAGTCACCTAGAAACGGGGCGGGAGGGGGGGGGGTAGGCATGGATGGACGAGCCAAACACACAGGTAGATGAGCGAGGGCGGGAGAGTGGGGAGGGGGGGAACTGAGTCACTTGTGAGAAGAATAAAAAGCGAGTCAGATGGAATAGAGGATGGATTAGAGGATGGATAAGACGAGGAATTAGAGTGTACAGGTAGACGAGCGAGGGCAGGGCGCCTATGGAGGCAGGGAGCGAGCCGGAGATGGTGTTGTAATCAAAGAGACTGAGGGGCAAATGGGGGGTTTGGAAGGGGGGATGGGGGGATGGGGGGATGGGGTGATGGTGGGATGGGGTGATGGGGGGATGGGGATAGGAGCCACTTTGTTTAGTTGAGTGAAAAGCAGGGAGAGGGACGTTCAGCTCTACATTCAGAGGCTTGAAAACGAAGAGGCAAGGCGTACAGCATTTGCAGGAAGGAGAGGGGAGGGGAGGGGAGGGGAGGGGAGGGGAGGGGAGGGGAGGGGAGGGGAGGGGAGGGGAGGGGAGGGGAGGGGAGGGGAGGGGAGGGGAGGGGAGGGGAGGGGAGGGGAGGGGAGGGGAGGGGAGGGGAGGGGAGGGGAGGGGAGGGGAGGGGAGGGGAGGGGAGGGGAGGGGAGGGGAGGGGAGGGGAGGGGAGGGGAGGGGAGGGGAGGGGAGGGGAGAAGTTGGGAAGGGAGGAGAGGGGAGGGGCTGGAAGGGCTGGGAAGGACGAAACGGGAAAGGTTGGAAGGGGAAGGGTTGGGAAGGGAGGAGAGGAGAAAGGCTGGGAGGGCTTACAGCATGCGCAGGGCAGTGAGAGACTTGAGTGTTGCAGGGAGGGAGCCTGAGAGGGTGTTGCGATTGAGGTACCTGTGTGGGACAGTGGGGCGCGGGGTAAGGGTGGGCAGTGGGGCAGTGGGTGGAACACACAGGCATTGCAAGCGGGTGAGGGTGCTGGCTTGCGAGGGGATGGAACCTGTGAGTGGGTCGGAGGAACTAGGGTACTCTCGAGTTACAGAGGTGGGGTGTGAGAGTGAGTGAACACCAGTTAGGTGCCATGGGATCAGCACGTGGCATCTAACTGGTGGCAGCAACTTAGCGATCGAGCCTGTGAGTGAGCCGGAGGAACTAGGGTACCAGGATTACAGAGGTGGGGTGTGAGAGGAGGTGACACGTACAGGCGTTGCAGGCGGGTGAGGGTGCTGGTTTGCGAGGGGATGGAGCCTGTTAGCTTGTTGCGCTGCATGTTCCTGGCATGGCATGTGACGAGAGGGAGGGGAGCGGATTAAGAGGGGTGAAGGTGAGATTGCTGCCGGGACGACTGCTGCCTTCTTCCCTTTCCTCCCATCCCTCTTCCTCCCACTCCTCTCTCCTCCCATCCCTCTCTCCTCCCACCTCTCTCTCCTCCCATCCCTCTTCCTCCATCCCTCTTCCTCCCATCCCTCTTCCTTCCACCCTCTCTCCTCCCATCCCTCTCTCCTCCCATCCCTCTCTCCTCCCATCCCTCTCTCCTCCCACCCCTCTCTTCTCCCATCCCTCTCCCCTCCCATCCCTTTCCCCTCCAATCCCTCTCCCCTCCCATCCCTCTCTCCTCCCAACCCTCTCTCCTCCCATCCCCCTCTCCTCCCATCCCCTCTCCTCCCAACCCTCTCTCCTTCCATGATTGGAAGTTTGTTGTACCAACACACCATCCATCTCTCCTCCCTGCCTCGCGCCTCACAGGGTTCTCAGTGATTTGAGGGTCGAAATGGCAGGAGGAATGGCGCCTGTTAACTGATTGGACGAGAGCGACCTGAGGAGAAAGGGGAGAGCGGGAGGGCAGAGGGGAAGAAAAAGAGTTGGTTTAGATTGCGGTGGTGAAAGTCAGACGTACAGAAGAATGAGGTTGGTGAGGGAGGGATTCACAAAAGAGTGAGAATGGCTGGGGATGGACATACAAAAGAGTGAGTTTGGTGGGGAAGGAATTTACAAGAAAGTGAGAGTGGCGAGGAAAGGAGGGGCGTACAGGAGAGTGAGGGAGGGACGTACAGGAGAGTGAGGTTGGTGAGTTTGCCAATGGTTGAGGGGATCGAACCGGAGAATTGGTTGGAGTCCAGTCGCCTGCCATGCCATGCCATGCACGATGGATGAATGCATGGGTGGATGAATGGGTGGTGAGTGGGGTGGGGGCGCATGGGTGGGGAGGGTTGGGTGGGCTGAATCCAGATTCCAGGTCTCGTGAGCAGTGACAGGTGACAATGAAGGAAAAGCTGTTTCCAGGTTAGTGCAACTTGGTTCAACCCATGGATCTCCTCCCCAGTTGGACAAAAAGGGTGCAGCATGCATTCACAGCAGTACGGTACAGTGCAGTGCTGCACACTACAGTGCAGTGCAGTGCATTACAGTACAGTGCAGCACAGTGCAGTGCAGTGCAGTGCGGTGCAGTGCGGTGCAGCACAGTGCATGACTCACAAGTCACTGAGAGAGGAGAGCGCAGATATGCCGGAGGGAAGGCTGCCAGTCAGCTGGTTCAGCTCCAGGTTGCTGCGAGCGGGAGAGGTGACGTGGGGCCATAGGAGTGAGGGTGTGGAACACAGAAGATCAATTTAACACCACATAAGGGAGGAAGCTATGATGAGGCGGAACAAAGGGAAGGCTGCCAGTCAGCTGGTTCAGCTCCAGGTTGCTGCGAGCGGGTTATGGGGGGGTCATGGGATGGGATGGGATGGGAGGAATGGGAGGTGATGGGGATATGGGAGGGTGATGGGGATATGGGAGGGTGATTGGGATACGGGAGGGTGATGGGGATATGGGAGGGTGATTGGGATATGGGAGGGTGATGGGGATATGGGAGGGTGATTGGGATATGGGAGGGTGATGGGGATATGGGAGGGTGATTGGGATACGGGAGGGTGATGGGGATATGGGAGGGTGATTGGGATATGGGAGGGTGATGGGGATATGGGAGGGTGATTGGGATATGGGAGGGTGATGGGGATATGGGAGGGTGATTGGGATATGGGAGGGTGATTGGGATATGGGAGGGTGATGGGGATATGGGAGGGTGATGGGGATATGGGAGGGTGATGGGATATGGGAGGGTGATGGGGATATGGGAGGGTGATTGGGATATGGGAGGGTGATGGGGATATGGGAGGGTGATGGGGATATGGGAGGGTGATGGGGGCATAGGAGAGTAATGGCAGCATGCGACCACAATGTCTCTCACGAGAACATACAGCGATGGGAGCTTCTGGAGTGCGAGGATGGGCGCTTCTGAGTCGACTCAAAAGCAGATTTCTAACACTCTTTCTCAGTGACCACAGCAACCTCAATGCTCTCTCTCTCGCGCAGGCATACAGCGATCGGAGCTTCTTGAGTGCGAGGATGGGCGCAGGGAATGTGCCGGTGAGGCTGTTGTTAGAAGACGCGTGGGCTGCGGAGACCACATACTTGCACCAACTCAATAGGTATGATCGGACACCGGAAATGGACGTACAGCGATGTGACTTTTGAGTCGACTCAAAGGATGTAGAGGCACCTCAAAGGTTGTCTCTTAACAGTATTTGAGGTGCCACCGGGAATGGACGTACAGCGATCGGAGCTTCTTGAGGCCGAGGATGGGCGCGGGGAATGTGCCGGTGAGGTTGTTGCGGGACAGCTGACTGCGAGAGAGTAGAAAAGGGTGTTATTTTGAGATTTCTCAAAAGCTACACCAACATAGCTGGTGAGGTTGCTCCAGGCCAGCTGACTGCGAGAGAGCATGAGAGAGAGGGAGCGAGAGCAGAGGGAGGGAAGGACGCTGAAAACTGCAAGGAAGCTTAGAAAGCGAGCGATAGATGAGAGAGCAGTGGGCTTGGTGCGGGTGACGAAGCAACAAAGGGACGTGTGATGTGAGTTGAACCAGGCTGCAAGGCGAGGTGTGTGCATCAATGCGACGAGATACAATGCGGTAATTCAGCTTACAGTACGGTGAGCAGGGTCAGCTTGCTGAGCTCAGCAGGCAGGGAGGTGAGATTTCCTGTGATGGAACTATGGGGTTGAAGGGGGGAAGGAGGGGAGAGCGAGACAAGAGCGGGGAGAGGAGAGTGGGGCGAGGAGTGAGGAGAGCGAGGAGCAGTGTCAGCTTGCTGATTTTAGAAGGCAGGGAGGTGAAATTGCCTGAGATGGAACTATGGGGTTGAAAGGGGAGGTGGAGAGTGGTGGAGGGGAGATCGGGGAGGGGAGCAGGGTGAGGAGAGGGGCGAGGAGTGAGGAGAGAGAGGAGCAGGGAGACCTTGCTGAGTTCAGCAGGCAGGGAGGTGAAATTGCCTGTGATGGAAGTGGAGGGTTGAGGGGGAGGGGAGAGGGGTGCGGGGAGGGGGAAGGGAAGAGGGCCGAGAGGGGAGTGGGAAGAGGGCTGAGAGGGGAGTGGGAAGAGGGCTGAGAGGGGAGTGGGAAGAGGGCTGAGAGGGGAGTGGGAAGAGGGCTGAGAGGGGAGTGGGAAGAGGGCTGAGAGGGGAGTGGGAAGAGGGCTGAGAGGGGAGTGGGAAGAGGGCTGAGAGGAGGGGGGGCGGAGGGAAGAGGAGAGAGAAGCGGAAGGTGAAACTGGGATTTGGGGCAAGCGTTTGGGCAAGCAAGGTGGGGGACGAGGTAGTGACGAGGAGAAGAGTTCTTACAGCGAATAGAGGTAGGGGAAATCCCCGACGACACCTGGCAGCGGCCCATTGGCTCCTGACATCACCCTGAGAGGAGCACCGCACAGTACAGCACAGCACAGCACAACACAGCACCACACAGAACCACACAGCACCACACAGCGAATAGAGGTAGGAGAAATTTCCGAATAAGATCCTGCTGCGTAACATAACCCAACAGCGAATTGCTCCCTTACCATCCGGCATCAGACACTCACACTCACACTCACACTCACACTCACACTCACATGTTTCCATGCGTCAGACTCAGAAGAGTTACAGGAAGATGAGATGAGACGACTTTGCTACCCGACCCGAGTCACACACGACGCCAAACAGGCTGCTGCATGCATATCCCTCCCACCGCCCACCCACTCACTCACCCCTCATGCGTCACACACTCACTCTCACTCTCACACTCGCACTCACACATGGTTGCCTTGCCTCAGGGAGAAGAGAACTCACAGCGAGATGACGTTGCGGTTGCCGTCGCACATGATACCAAACAGGCTGTCGCAGCTGCCAGGGGCCGTCCGTTGCTGATGCAGTCAATGGGTGTAAGGGAGTGACAGGCAGATCTCAGGATGGGATGGGACCTCATAGGGACTCACAGCGAGATGACGTTGCCGTCCCCGTCGCACATGATACCAAACAGGCAGTCAGTAAGTGGCACTGCCCATGCGTTCAAGCGGCTCAAAGAAATGACAGGCAGGCAGGGCTTAGGATGCGATGGGTCCTGCACTCCAAGGGACTCACAGCGAGATGACGTTGCCGTCCCCGTCGCACATGATGCCAAACAGGCTGTCGCAACTATCAGGGGCGGTCCAATACACCTTGGGGCTCCTCGACGGCACCAGGAACGACATGCCATCCCTTAGCGCCACCAGCGTCGTCCCTGTGAGGTGCGAGGAGAGCACAGAAAGAGCGTACGAGGCAAGGGGAGGGAGAGCTGTCAGGGGCGGTCCAGTACACCTTGGGACTCCTCGACGGCACCAGGAACGACATGCCGTCCCTCAGCGCCACCAGCGTCGTCCCTGCCAGCAGGAGGGAGGGAAAGGGGGGAGGGGGGGGGGGGGCGCGCACAGAGAGAGGAAAAGGGTGAAGGGGGGAGATGTCCGAAGCTGTCCGGTAGTCCTTGTAAGTTCTCGTGGAAGTGCACAACCGTCTTGCGATTAAAAGCGGAGGGGCGTGAAGTGGACGGACGGACGACGCGGACTCACAGTCGGCCGAGTTCACCGCGACTCCCTGCGCGCGAATCTTGACACACCCTCCTGGTTTGTTCTGTTGTTTGTTTGTTTGTTTGATTGTTTTCCTTTTTCCTTCCCTTTTCTTTTTTTCTCTGTCCGAGTAGGCTAAAGAAATCGGAATCGAAGGAAATGGCGGCGCATGAACGACGCGAACGCGGACTCACAGTCGGCCGAGTCCACCGCGATTGCCTGCGCGCGAGCGCCGGTAGTGCACAGAAGGGACGCTGCGAGGAGCCATGCTGCCGCCAGCAGCGGGCTTGCCGGCGACGGGCCGGCAGCCGACCCGACGCTGCGATTTCGCGGCGAGCGTCGCAGTGGTCGCATTGCGCGTGCGACGACTAGATGTAAAGGCTATGCCGGTGCAACGACGGATTGACGGATAGGGAGCAATCTAGCAGCTACGTGAGACTGAACTTGGTCCACAGTTTGGTCGGATACGACTGATGAAATGCATAACAATATGTGGGACTCTCAGCGCTTCTGACCGAAGCGGTGTTTTACGATATAAAGGTTACTATCAGAGAGTAGAAACATGTGCCCGTGTGACGCTACTTATGCGGTGCGCCAGTGTGCTGTGTCTGGCTCGAAAACATGGCGGAAGGACCAAAACGAGCTTCCAGAATGCCGAATGCGAAGCACTTCTGGTGTCTGCTCTGATTGCACATCGCTATGCTCACACTTAACTAAACGATGAATTTTAAAAGTGTGATTGCGCAAGGTTTGGGTTGGGGGGAGCTGAGGGACTACAGAAGCTGGAGACACCACCCGAGAGCTACACGAAAACAACCCAAGGAACAAGCCTAACGTCTGCTCTGGTTACCACAACTGCGAAGCAGGACGAGGTCAGGGTTGACGTTCTTCGTCAGGGACCAGGGTTGATGTTCTGCTGCCAATGGCCACGTTGCACAGATGTCGTGTCGAGCATCGCTACAGTGTACAGTCGGTCACGTCCTTGATTGGTCGGTGTGTCGTTGGTTGCACTGACATACACAAGAGCACTCTGTACGAAAGCGCCGGGCAGGGGGAAAAAGCGGTCAGGTTGGTGACGGGCAGGTTGTATGGTGTCGCTTAGACTTTCATGCGATGAAAATGTCGCCGACTTGGAAAGGTGTTTTCTGGTTACAGTGACAGACGGCGCTCGGGCGTGTGCTGTGGTTTCATTTCCTTTTCGCCTATTGGCGAAACCAGGGTAATTGCCTCCCCCTCGAAGCCCGAAACACGGAGCTCGTCATAAATCGCCACGAACGGTATGCTTGACGGTGCCCTTTCCGCTGTTTGTGTGGACACAGGAGGAAGCAGCGGATGTGGGGGGAGGATGGAAAAAGTGGCAGGGCAGGTCAGGTCAGGTGGGGGAGTGTGTGTCTCTGCGAAAGAGGCGAAGCAGGTTAGGAAGGGTGCGGCGAGGGAGGCGAAAAGGGCGAACTATCGAAACGAGGGGGGCGAAGGAGGGAGGCGGGTGAGGGGGGAAGGGACTGGTGAGCAGTCACGACGACAGTGGGGTGAACGGGGTCGACTGGGGAAAGGAGGAGCACCGTCGTGGCGTTTCCACGCGCCAACCTCCCCCACCTTGATCATCAGGGTTGCCAGGGCGGTGCCGTGCCTTGCATCTGCGAGCAGGGTACTGTGTATGCGTACCCAGCGCAGCACATAAGAAAAATGGGCGTATGTGGTGCAGGAGAGACACGAGAAAAGGAAGCAGCTCCTAGAACGGAATTGTCTACTACTATAATTGACCTACCGACCAGCTGATAAATGCAAGCTTCCTCTAAACCGAAAAGTAGGTCGACTCAAAGGTAGGTCCTTATACGGACCAGATGATGCCTGCACGTTGACAGCAACGCATCCTAGGGGAACGCCTGGTAATGGCTACAAGCGTGCATGCCATATAGTAAAAAGCTAGAGGAGCGCAAAGAGCTCAGTCGACGTCGACGCCGAAGTGTATCCCCGGTAATTGCGGATTCGCGAAACTGTTTTTCCAGCACTAGCTAACCTTGCGGCTACAATTTGCGAATCGTAAGCGGACACCGTTGCTGGCTATGCCACTCCGGCCCAGTCAGTGATTGTGTAGCGTAGCGGTGCGAGCAAAGGACGGGATAGGAAGGACAGGACTGCCGGAGCGCAAACAAGAAACCATTCTTGTCGACAGCATTCAACCCATGCCAATGTGCCGGCGAGAATTTCGCGTCCTGAACGACTGGTGACGATTAGTGTACTCGCGGCTCTATCACGACAGTGTAGACTGGCCCAGAAGCAGACGTAGAAGCAGACGTAGTCGTAGACGTAGACGTAAACGTGGACGCAGACGTAGACGCAGGCGGAGACAGACACGCAGTTGCTGCTCCAGTGACGCAGTGAAGCCGCCAGTAACCCTCCAACACCTCGACATGCGACAACGAGCAGCATCCGCCATGGCTGGCGTATCTTCGTCCTTAACATTGGCGGTCGTGATCTATTTTGCGTTCTTTCTTCTCGAGGCGTCTATTGCGCGCGCCGTGGTTCAGGCCCCCATGTCTGCAAACGATAGTGAGCTCGCTTTCCATGCGTGAGTCGAATTTAGTCTTGGCGTGACCGTTAAGTCACCTTGCGAAGTGGCTCCTAAAACCACCTTGTGGCTCTTTCGCCCATGTCGGCTACAGATTGTGAGGTCGCGTTTCATGTGTCAGTCTAGTGCAAGCTCGGGGGGACTAATTTTACGACGTTAATAATAATAACAATAATAAAAGATAAGTGTTTCTGAGACGTAAAAATCATGGGGGTGGCTAAAAGATAAGTGTTTCTGAGGCGTATAAAAGATAAGTGTTTCGACCCGTGATAGTGAGCTCGCACATATGTGAGTCGAACGTAGGTTAGGAGTGATTGTCAGCGTCGAGTTTAGGGTTTGCGGCCCATCGCCCATTGACAATGGAAGTTCACCGCTTTTATCGGTGTATTTTTGCGTCGCTTTCAGTATCGGTGCGCTCGACGACGAACCGAGGTTTCCTCTGTCGCTCGCCGCGACACTCACGCTCCCACCACTCCTGTACGCGCAACGCGCTACCCCACTGTCCCGTTACAGTGAATACGCTGCTCGCAATAAAGCCGATCCTGGGCGTGACGCTAACGTCTTGGCAGTCATCCTCGTCGCAGTGCACGCCGGTTGGACAGACCAAGAACGGCAATGAGTGGGATGCGGTGCAGTGCGATGCATCCGGAAACGTCGCTTACCTGTGAGTATACCGGGGGTTGAAATCTCTGTAGTCCATTCTGCCCAAAGTAATCACGATCTAAGTAAATTTCTCCACCTCCTTTTCGCGTCCCAACCGCATAAGTTGAGTCAAGTCCCTATGATTGTTCATACTCGTCGTTGGTGTATTGCCGAAGATTCTCACTCGCAAGGTAACATTCTCGTAGTCCCACGTGTCAGGTTCTGATGCGGCTGCTGCCGCCTCCCTCCCACTTCGGCAATCTCAAGAATTAACCATAATTGATTATTTCCACTATCGCTTCCCTTTATCTGATGTGACCCCCCTCACAGAACTATACGTTACATGTACGTTTTGTTTTTAATACATTATGAATCTAATCCGATTAAAGCACACACCACAAACCGTCGCCCCGTTTCCCCTTCCCGCTCGTTCTGCCCTCATCCCGTCCCTCTCCCTCTCCCTCCAGCACCGCCTCCCCCCCCCCCCCCCCCCCCCCCCCCTCCTTCTCCTTCCAGGAACTTTTACATGCAGTCTCTGAAGGGAAGCATGCCAACAGATATCAGCCAGCTCTCCGCTCTCACCTACATGTGAGGCCCCCTTTCCCCCTTCCTTTCCGTCCCACCTCCCCCACCTTTCCGTCCCGACTACCCTGTTTCCTGCCTCTCCCCTCCCAACCCTCGCCTCCTGTTTTGAGTGGGCTCGAACACCGGCTGACGTCAGCAAACTCTCTGCTCTCACTTTCCTGAGGCGCCCCTTCCCTCCATCACACCATCCTTCCCCTCATCACACCTTCCTTCCCCCACACCATCCTTGTCCTCACTCCTCCTTTGCTTTCACCCTTCCCTTAGCCTCGCCCCTGTGTTACCCTCAGCTTTCCATTTTCTTCTTACTGCACTTGTGCGCATGCAACTGTGTTTTAACGCGTCTCGGAACATTTTCTTCCGATCCAACCTCACTCGTGTGCATGCATATGTGTTCTGAGGCGTCTCAAAACCCCTCATTCTGAGCCTTCCATTCTCCCAACCTCACTCATGCACAAGCGCATGCGCCTGTGTTTTGGGTCCACGCAAACCACACCACAGCCTCTGCGCGTTTCTCTCTCACTCACTCTCCGACTCTCTGCACTCTGTGCTCCAACCTGCTCCACACCAGCTTCTGAGACGTCTCAAAGGTCCCTCCTCCTCCCCCTCTCCTCCTCCCCCCTCCCCCTCCCCCTCTCCCCCTCTCCCTCCTCCTCCCCCCTCCCCCCTCCCCTCTCCTCCTCCCCTTCTCCCCCCTCCCCGCTCCCCCTCTCCTTCTCCCCCCCCAACAGAAATTTCTGCTGCGACCTGCTGCATGCCAGCTTCACGCCTTGGACGGCCACTTATGAGGCGCCTCAAAAGGCTTGTCAACTCTCCCCCCTCTCCCCGCTCCTCTCCCTCCCTCCCCCCGCAGCAACCTCTGCTACAACCTGCTGCATGCCAGCTTCACGCCTTGGACCGCCACTCTCATGCAAATGCCGCAACTTATGGAAATGTGAGCCTTGTTTTTGCCACAACGAGCTTTCTTTCGTGGAAACAAAAACGTCTCTTCTCAACTCCACGCCACCGACGGTTAAGCCTGTAAAGACGAATACGAATATGAATACGATTTTTTTTTTTTTCGGAATATTCTCCAAATACTGTGTGGTTTTTTATTCTACCAAATATTGACCCAAATTTAATACAAATACAGTTCGAATATTGCCGAATTCAAATCGAATACGCTCAAGTGTCGAATAATAAAATTTGTGTAGGCAATGTCGAGCGAGCGGCTAATGCATGTTCGACACAGGGTGACACAGTGTACCTTTTACTACCAAAACCACGGCTCAATCCCGCACCACGCGCTATCCCTAACCCCTCTACAGAAACTATCTTGCGAGGCTCTCACGAGGCCTCATGTACACAGATTATCAAAGATGATAGCCGCGTGTAGGGAACATATCAGGGGGGGTTAATGACAGAATGCAGAATAGTAATGAATACTTCGAATATTCGCTACCTGAATATTGTACATTCACGAATACTCGTGGTGCGAATATTTTCAAGTACACAGTCGTTTCCTTCTCTCTCGAATTCAGGTATTCGGACGAATATTTTATAGTTCTCGAATACCGAATATTCCTTTACAGGCTTACCAACAGTCACCCTCGCACTGCATGCCGCAACTCGTGCATGTGTGAGTCCTGCTTTCTTTTCTTGTATTCCCGAGTTTCGAAACGTCTCAAAGCTCGTGCTTTTTTCTCCCGTATTCTCGTTCTCTAGAGTGGCGCAAGTTGCTCTCATGGTTACGTGTTTTGAGTCGACTCAAAACATGGCTCTAGAGTAGTGCAAGTTGCTCTGCTCTCATGGTTACGTACGCACATGTCCATGAGAGCAATTTGCACTATCAAGGACTCGCAGATGACCCAAAAGCATATCCAGGACTCGTTCTGGACTCCTGCTTGCTTTTGAAAACACTAAGAAACTACCTCGTTTAGGTTTGTGTATGTGTAAGTCGTGGGTGTGGTTGTGTCACTTCCGAGAATCCTCAGTGGCATGTACGTTTCCAGGACTCATGCGGCCGCCCCTCTCTGCGCCCCTCTCTGCGCCCCACTCTGCTCTCTGCGCCCCTCTGTGCGCCGCTCTCTTTCTACAGGCGATTCTGTGCCAACTGGTTCTACGGCACCATCCCAACATCCATCGTTACCCTCACACGCCTGACGACCCTGTACGTGTTTGGTACCTACCTGTATCTCCCCCCTCCCCAACTGGTTCTATTCTATGGCACCATTCCAACATCCATCGTCACCCTCTCAAAAGCACGCTCTCACATGCCAAACGTACCTCCCTCTCATCCCGCCTCCCTATCCCTCTCCTCCCCGTTCCCCCTCTCCTCTTCCCCTCCTCTTCCCCTCCTCTTCCCCCCTCCCCTCTCCCCCACCCTCTCCCTCTTCCCCTCCTCTTCCCTTCTCCCACCTCAGAGGCCTCTTCTCCAACTACCTCTCCCAATGCCCCCGCCCTCTCTATGATACTTCAGCGTGGAACTGAATCTGCTCATCAAATCCCTACCCTCCTCTTCCCCTCCTCTTTCTCGTCCCTCCCTCTTCCCCCCTCGCACCTCAGGGGTCTCTTCTCCAACTACCTAGTAGGCACGGTCCCAACACCTCCCTCCTCTTTCAAATACATCAGCGTGGAGCGGAACTTTATCACCGGCTCCTTCCCCTCGGGCATCCCAACCACCATCTGCAACGCCAACTGCTTCACCAGCCCCCCCGCTGCTTGCCCTCTTTGAGTAGACTCAGAAATAGGCTCAAAAATAGGTTCTTCCCCTCCTCTTCCCCTCCTCTTCCCCTCCTCTTCCCCTCCTCTTCCCCTCCTCTTCCCCTCCTCTTCCCCTCCTCTTCCCCCCTCCCACCTCAGAGGCCTCTTCTCCAACTATCTCGTGGGCACAGTCCCAACACCTCCCTCCTCACTCAAGTACTTCAGCGTGGAGCGGAACTTCATCATTGGCTCCTTCCCCTCAGGCGTCCCAACCACCATCTGCAACGCCAACTGCTTCACCAGCCCCCCCGCTGCCTGCCCTCTCTCCACCCAACGCGCCGCTGCCAAGTGTGTGTTCTGCGGGGGAGCGGCCGGAGCGACGGGCATGTGTGGGGGGTTTGAGGAGGGATGCACGCCGGATACGGCCGGGCTGACCTCGCCTAATGGGGCGAGCGCTGTGCTGCTGCCGCGCTACTGCGAGGCTGCCACGATTCTCCCGGCTCACTGTGAGTCCGATTGTGTGATTTGGGAAATGGGGGGGGGGTGACGGGGGGGGGCACCATTCGTGGTATGGGCATGTGATGAGTCGACTCAGAAATCGACTCATCACACGCGGAGTGAAGGGGGCCTCCATTTGTGGTATGGGCATGTGCGGGGGATTCTGGAAGGGTGCCCGCCGCCTGATGTGACTGGGCTTCCTTCTTCTTCCCTCACACCCTCGCTCCCACTCACCCGTCGGTCCCACTCATCCCCCCTCTCTTAACTTCTGGCTTCCTCTCTTAACTTCTGTTGCTCCACTTCTCTCTCTCGTTCCCTCTCTCTCACACCACCCCACCTCACATGCAGTGTCCTTCCCGCAGGCACTCAAGTGGCCTCTGGGAATGAATGGCGGACAGCACGTGGGCAGGCTTTTGAGGCGCCTCAAAAAGGACAGCACGTGGGCGGGCAGGGATCCACGGGGGAGAGTGCCAGGGGGAGAGTGCCAGGTTGGGAGTGCGTAGCTCAAAGCTCATCTCGTTCCCTCACCTTCCTCGTCACACCCCCCCTCCCATGCAGCGTCCATCCTGGTGATGCTCAAGTTATCACTGGGAGTGACAGACAGCACGTGGGTGGGCAGCACAGGGCAGTGCACGGGGGAGAAGGCCTCCCAGTCCTCTCCCTACTGGGCTGGCGTCAAATGCTCCGACACTGGTGCTGTCACAAGCATGTGAGTTGGCTGTCACAAGCATGTGAGTGGGCTGTCACAAGCATGTGAGTGGGTTGTTATGACCTGCAGTGAGCTGTAGCATGCATGTGAGTGGCCTGTAGCATCCATTCCTCTGTCTGTTTTACTTGATTCAATAACTTCTCTCGTTGTCCTCTACACCTCCTCTTCTTCATCATCACTCATCACTGCACTCCGCTCTGCCTTCTCTCCCCTCCTTTCTCTCGTGTCCTCCCTTCGCGTTGTTCTTTCCCCCTTCAACAGCTCTCTGCGCACGCAAGGCCTCTCTGGATCGCTGCACTCCTCCATCGCTGCACTTGCAACCCTCACTTCCCTGTACGGCCCAGCCACTCTACTCTAGTTATGAGAGGTGCCAGTGCTCCAGTTATGAGGTGCTCCATAGCTGAACTCTTCCATCGCTGCACTCATCCATCTCTGCACTCGCAACTCTCACTTCCCTGTACGGCCTCGTCACTCCCTCTTGCCATTCTCCCTCACCACTCCCCCCTCATCAGTTCCCACCTTCCGCTTCCCACTTCCCACCCCTTTTTCAGATCATTTGTTCTCCCTTCCACCACATTTTTTGCCTGTGTGCTTACAGCCTTGCGTGTCTCCCTATGTGCGTACCCCTCGATCCGCCCCTGCCGCCGTTACTTGCATCGCTTTCTACCTCCCATCCATCCATCCATCCATCCATCCATCCATCCATCCATCCATCCATCCATCCATCCGTCCGTCCGTCCGTCCGTCCGTCCGTCCGTCCGTCCGTCCGTCCGTCCATCCATCAGTCCATCTCCTCCCCTCCAGCACACCTCTTCAACAGGTATCAGCTTTCCCTCTTGAGGCGCCCCAGAAAACGAGTATTTCATTCCTATCCTTTCCTTTCCTCTTCCGTTTGCCCCCAACACGCAGGGACCTGAATTCCAACCCCTTCTACCAATAGCTGGACGGCTGTCTCTCTTTGAGGTGCCTCAAGTATTGTCTATTCCATTCCCTCCCTCCCCTCTTTCCTCCCTCCCCTCTTCCCTCCCTCCCCCCTCACCTCCACGCAGCGACCTGAGCTCCAATCTCTTCAACCAGCAACTGGATGGCTTTCTCTCATTGAAACTCTCTTTAATATGAGTTTCCCTCTCACCCCTCCCCTCCATCACGCAGCGACCTGAGTTCCAATCTCTTCAACCAGCAGCTGGATGGCTTTCTCTCCGACGTGGTCTCGCTCACTCAGCTCCAGCAGCTGTATGCCTCATGTTTTTAAATCTGCTCAGAAGTTTGAAATATGTTTTCAAGCTTTTGCGCAACTCCTTGCTTCTCCTTGTTTCGCGCAACTCGCTTCTCCTTGTTCCGTCGCACCCATTTAGTGTTCATTGGTCTAGCACCCTACTTGCCCTAATCCGCCCTGCTCCTTTTGAGAGTCTCCAAAGTGGCTCCCTCCCTGTTTTGAGTCGACTCAAAACACAACTCGCCCTAATCCACCCTTCTCCTTTTTAGAGTCTCCAAAGTGACTCTCCCCCTGTTCCTTCGCCCTTCGGCCTGGCCCTCCCCACAGGCTTCTCGGTTACAACTGGTTCTATGGCTCAATCCCCACCACCATCTCTCAGCTCTCTCAGTTATCTGGCCTGTGAGTCACGTATCACACCCCATTGATTGAGTCAACTCAAAACTCACCTTCTTGGGTACAACTGGTTCTATGGCTCAGTCCCCACCACCACCTCTCAGCTCTCCAAACTATCTGGCCTTTGGGTCAAGTCACGCCACGCACGCCATCCCATCCTGCTCCTTGAGTCAACTAATATACAGGTCACCTCATGCACGCGCCAACTCAAGCATAAGTCTCGTCACATCACGCACGCTATCCCGCTTTTCATAACCTCCCCTTTCCACCATCTACCTAAAGGACCGACGCAAAGTTAATTTCTCCTTCCTCCACCGTATTTCACCACCCTCCGCCCCTCCCCACCACCCTCCACCAGGTCCCTCTTCTCCAACTACCTCACCGGTTCACTTCCCGCACTCCCCTCCTCCCTCCGAGCCCTAGACATCGCCTACAACTTCCTCTCCGGCTCGCTCCCCACCCTCCCCACCTCCCTCTCCCACTGCGCCGCCGAGCACAACTGCCTCATCCCCGCCGCCGCCGTCCCCTGCGCTCGCTTCGGCTCCACCCAGCGGCCTGCTGCAATGGCGGGAGTAACAGCGGCTTCAGCAACGGAGCGGTGTGCGGTGTGCGGGATGGGGACGGCGACGGAAGCAAGCGTGTGCTTTGATGGGGAGTGTGTGGTGACTGCGGCCCAGAATGTTTCTCAAGGGGGCCCTAACGGGCCGGCTCAAGCCGTGCTGGATCTGCAGTGCACAGGTGTGTGGGCCGACTTAAGAGTGTGCTGCTGTGTGTGCTGAAAGTGGGTGAGAATGTGTGCTCAAGTGAATCTTTCTGGTGACTCTGCTCTTGCTCGTTTTCCTCTGTGCAACTCGCTGTCTTTCCACCCACCCTGCCCCCACCCACCCACATCCTTTCACTCCCCTACCATCCCCGTCCTTCCACCTCCCTCCCACCCACATCCTTTCACTCCCCTCCCATCCACCCCCACCCACATTCTTGATTGTGCCCCAAGCAGGCAGCTCACAAACCTCCATGGCTGATGCTACAGGTGAGTGAGAGTGATTGGACAGCTGAGAGATAGAATCATTCTTGATTGTGCCCCAAGCAGGCAGCTAGAGATGAAATGTCTGTGGGATAAAACCTGTTAAAGATGAAATCCCTGCAAGACAGCGTATCCCGTCCTGCGCTGCTCTCCTCTTCCTCCGTCTGTTCCTTCGCTTTCCCCATTCCAGACAATCCCTCCCTCCCACTCCCTGTTCCACCCACAACCCCCCCCCAATCCCTCTCTCCTCCCACCCCCCTCCCATTCCCTGCAATCCCCCGGCCCCCCATCTCCCTGCTAACCCCCTCCCGTTTCTTTCCTCCCTTCCCCTTTTGTCCCTTAGTAAACGCTTTACTTGCGCTCAAGACCGCGTTGGGAGTGACGTCCACGGCATGGGGCAGCGGGGGGTGCAATGTGGAGGGATACACCTCGGGCTCTGATTGGCCCGGTGTTGCCTGCGACTCCCTCGGGAACGTCCTCTCCATGTGAGTTGACTCAGTTGACTCGGTTGACTCGCTTGGCTCGGTTGACTCGGTTGACTCGGTTGACTGAGAACCCAATACCCCCGCCCCATGCCCCTGGAACGTCTCTCCATGTGAGCTGACATGGCGGAATCGGTCGGTTGACTTTATTGACTGGTCTGGCTTTGTTGACTTGGTTGACTCTCGGTTGCTTCGCTTGACTTCATTGACCTGGCCCCTCCCAACATGCCCCATGCCCCATGTTGTATCCCATACCCCATGCCTGCTGCATACCCCATGCCTGCTACATAACCCATGCCTGCTGCATAACCCATGCCGCACGCCCCATCCCTTTCCCCACCGACCAGTGATCTAACGAGTCAGAAGCTCAAGGGGTCCATGGCCTCGGATGTCACTGCTCTCACATCGCTCACTCGCCTGTACGTCTGTCACATGGCATGCCTTGCCATACCACATGTCATGCCTTGCCATGCCACATGTCATGCCTTGCCATGCCACATGTCATGCTGTGCCATCCCACATGGCACGCCACATGTCATGCCACATGCCATGTCATGCCATGCCACATGCAAGGCCACATGCAAGCCATACCATGCACTCATGTTTCCCAACCCTCCCCCCTCCCTCCCCCACCCTTCCTTTCCCTCGTGACCCTATCCACCTGCCTCTGCAACACCTTCAACAGCAACCTCATCTGGACGCCTCTAGCCTCCTTCGTCGCACACTTGCCTCCCCCACGCTTCCCAACCCTCCGCACTACCTCCCCTCCCCTCTCCTTTCCCTCGTGCCCCTATCCACCCCCCTGCAGCACCTTCGACAGCAACCTCCTCTGGACACCACTAGCCTCCTTCGTCTCCTACTTCTCCTCTCTCTCCAACCTCGTCGTGCTGTGAGTGCTCCTCTGTGCTCTGCTGCACCCTCGCCGTGCTGTTTTAGAATCTGTGCATCTTTTTCTTGTCCAACTGGCTCTATTCTGTGCCTCTCTGCCTTGCCAATAGGCGCAGTTGGTTTTGTCAAGTCACCTCCATTGCAGCTGGCTCTGTGGCACACCGCCCTGCTACCTGCTCAACCTCCCTATCCGACCTTCGAATCGACTTATAAATCACTTCCTACCATCCCCATCCTCCTCCCCCCCCTCCTCCCCATCTGTCCCCCACCCTGCAGCAATCTGCAATACAGCTGCTTTCACAGCTCACTGTCTGCCTACCTGCCTCTGAAATGCCGCAAAAGATATTTGCCTCGTCACCCCCACCCTGCCACCCCATCCTGCCACCCCACCCTGCCACCCCACCCTACCACCCCACCCTGCCACCCCACCGTGCAGAGACCTGCAGTACAACTGGTTCTACGGCACGCTGCCTGCCTACCTGCTCAACCTCCCCGCCCTCACCAGCCTGTGAGTCCCTCTCTCTACCATGTGCAACTCTTTCTCTGCTTTGCTGAGTCTCCCACACACCTCCCTACTTGCTTGCTTTCTTCTCCCTACCTCACGGGCACCATACCCAAGCCCACCTCAACCGCGATCTCCAGACTCACACTCGCTCAGAACTTCCCTGCAGCTTCTGCGTCGCCACTAAGAACTGCTTCTCCCTTTCCCCACCCCCTCCTCTCCCTCTCTCCCCACAGAGCCTTAGGAGGCAACTATCTCACGGGCACCGTACCCAAGCCCACCTCAACCACGCTCGCCAAGCTCACACTCACCAACAACTTCCTCACAGGCTCGGTCCCCTCGCTGCCCTGCAGCTTCTGTGAAGCCACTCAGAACTGCCTTAAGAATGCCGCCGCATGCAGCTCATCGGGCACAACTCAAAGGAGTACGGGGTGTACTTTCTGTGGGTTGACTAGCGGGACAGGGACGCTATGTGGGGGTACGAAAGTGTGCAAGCCAGACGCTAGTGGGCCCCTAGCACAGGAAACGGCAAACACTGCTAGCTCGCCTCTGCTCACCTTGACTTGCGTGTAAATTATGTGGGTCTATTTTGTGTTCGACTCGCCCTTTTTAAGTTCAACTTGGTTTGGAAATTACGCAGTAACTGTGTGGAATATGAGTTGTGTTGCCAGTGTATTGGCCATTTGAATTGCCTCGGTTTTTTGTCTTGATTGGTTTGCCATGCCACAAACTCGTTGTTGTGATGTGAATTCAGACCAAATCATAGTCCAGCTTTGTTGTTCATTTCACACATTGCCTCTGTACAACTCCACCAAATGTTACCCGTATGTGAAATAAGGGCCAGTTACTATGCACGTAGAGCACCTACATTTGAGGTAATGAAAGAACAGCGACCACACAACTTGTAACACACTATTCGGGTGAGACATTTCCTCACCACCAGTCCAGCAACTTTACCTTACTCGTCATCACCCAGATATAAGACATATATGTCTTATCTCGTACACGGGCAAAAATGCTTGGGTTGTCTTGTATTTGGAACAGTTTAGGGTGTCTTATAAGTCTTATAAATGGACAAAGAACCGTTTAGAAGATACCTCCTTGTTATACAATTGCCCATAACCCCTACCTCATACACATGAATAGGTGTCTTATAATGAGGCTAGCACGTTTATAAGAGACACCTGGATAATAAACACCCCTTGTCTTCTATTTAACACTGTCTTCTATCCGAGCGCATACGGTATGGAGAAAAAAATGCGTTGGTCGGTTCGGTTAGTATGCACGCTTGTGTGCATGTACAAAGCGTTGTCGGAACTCTGAAATCTCCCAAATTATGTGGATCGAAAAGGTAAGAACCTAGTGATATTCAAATAGACGGCCTAATCTAGGGCTGGCAAGAAAATGGCACTAACTGCATCTCTACAAACATAAGTAATGCGCTGGTCAGTTTGGTCGGTATGCGCGCCTGTAGTGCAGGTACCACGTACGACTAGATTCCTATATCTGCCAGATTTTATAGATCCAAAAGGTTAAAACCTGGTAGGTGGGTGGGGAATGACATAAGTGAAAGAATATGGGAGAATATATGGTATTTACTGTACTTCTACAGAGAAAATACAGCATTGGTCGTTCCGGTCAGTATGCACGCTTGTGTGTAGGTACAAGGCGGAGCTGGAACTCTGAAATCTCCAAAATTATGTTGAACGAAAAAGGTTAGAACACAGTGTTGTTGAAGTAGAACGCCTAATTAGTAGACTGGCAAGAAATTGGTACTAATTGCATCTTTACAAACATTAGTAATGCGCTGGTCAGTTTGGTTGCGCGCCTGTAGTGCAGGTACCATGTACGATTCGAATGCATAAAACTGCCAAACTACACACCGTATTCTCCCGGATATAAGACCCGGGGGACTTTCCTAAAATAGAGGCAAAATGACTAGGGTGAACATTTAATCGGCACGAGTTGTAAGAGTCTAGGGTATACTTGAATTTGAAGAGGGGGTGGGGGGGGGAAGAACGGCCGAAATCGTAGGCGCCAAACTTTTCCTTGCACGAGAATCAGGCCGAAAATGCCCAGAACATGGGCCACTCGAATATGCAACAACATTCAGGTTGTTGAACACTTTTCCCTACGCCCAAAGGGATTCATGCGTCTTCTAGGCACCTGTCGGCAAAAACGTCAGAAATCATTGGAGCCGAACCTTTCCTTGCACGAGAACCAGGCAAAAAATGTTTTAATCGGTGTATTTGAACATGGGCCACTCGAATATGCAACAACATTCAGATTGTTGAACGCTTTTCCCTACTCCCATAGGGATTCATGCGTCTTCTAGGCACCTGTCGGCCAAAACGGCCGAAATCGTAGGCGCCGAACTTTTCCTTGCACAAGAACCAAGCAAAAAAGGCTCTAGTATGTGTATTTGAACATGGGCCGCTCGAATATGCAACAACATTCAGGTTGTTGAACGCTTTTCTCTACGCCCGTAACGATTCATGCCTCGTCTAGGCACCTGTTGGCCAAAACGGCCGAAATCGTAGGCGCCGAACTTTTCCTTGCAAGAGAACCATGCCAAAAAGGCTCTAATCCGTGTATTTGAACATGGGCCACTCGAATATGCAACAACATTCAGGTTGTTGAACGCTTTTCCCTATGCCCGTAGGGAAATGTATGCGCATTGTAGGCACCTGTCGGCCAAAACGGCCGAAATCGTAGGCGCCGAACTTTTCCTTGCACGAGAACCAGGTCAAAAAGGCCCTAATCAGTGTATTTGAACATGGACCACACGAATATGCAACTAAATTCAGGTTGTTGAACGCTTTTCCCTACGCCCGTAGGGATTCATGCGTCTTCTAGGCACCTGTCGGCCAAAACGGCCGAAATCGTAGGCGCCGAACTTTTCCTTGCACGAGAACCAGGCCAAAAAGGCCCTAATCGGTTTATTTGAACATGGGCCACTCGAATATGCAACAACATTCAGGTTGTTGAACGCTTTTCCCTACGCCCGTAGGGATTCACGCGTCTTGTAGGCACCTGTAGGCCAAAACGGCAGAAATCGTAGGCGCCGAACTTTTCCTTGCGCGAGAACCAGGCCAAAAAGTCTTCAATCGGTGTATTTGAACATGGGCCACTCGAATATGCAACAACATTCAGGTTGTTGAACGCTTTTCCCTACGCCCGTAGGGATTCATGCGTCTTCTAGGCACCTGTCGGCCAAAACGGCCGAAATCGTAGGCGCCGAACTTTTCCTTGCACGAGAACCAGGCCGAAAAGGCCCTAGTTGGTGTATTTGAACATGGGCCACTCGAATATGCAACAACATTCAAATTGTTGAACGCTTTTCCCTACGCCCGTAGGGATTCATGCGTCTTGTAGGCACCTGTCGGCCAAAACGGCAGAAATCGTAGGCGCCGAACTTTTCCTTGCACGAGAACCAGGCCAAAAAGGCTCTAATAGGTGTATTTGAACATGGGCCACTCGAATATGCAACAACATTCAGGTTGTTGAACACTTTTCCCTACGCCCATAGGGACTCATGCGTCTTCTAGGCACCTGTCGGCCAAAACGGCCGAAATCGTAGGCGCCGAACTTTTCCTTGCACGAGAACCAGGCCAAAAAGCTCTAATAGATGTACTTGAACAGCACTCGAATATGCAACAACATTCAGGTTGTTGAAAGCTTTTCCCTACGTCCGTAAGGATTCACGCGTCTTCTAGGCACCTGTCGGCAAAATCGGCCGAAATCGTAGGCGCCGAACTTTTTCTTGCATGAGAACCAAGCCGAAAAGGCTCTAGTATGTATATTTGAACATGGGCCACTCGAATATGCAACAACATTCAGGTTGTTGAACGCTTTTCCCTACGCCCGTAGGGATTTACGCTTCTTCTAGGCACCTGTCGGCCGGCAAAAACAGCCGAAATCGTAGGCGCCGAACTTTTCCTTGCACAAAAACCAGGTCAAAAATGCCCTAATTAATGTATTTGAACATGGGCCACTCGAATATGCAACAACATTCAGGTTGTTGAACGCTTTTCACTACTCCCATAGGGATTCATGCGTATTCTAGGCACCTATCGACAAAAACGGCCGAAATCGTAGGCGCCGAACTTTTCCTTGCACGAGAACCAGGCCAAAAAGGCTCTAGTAGGTGTATTTGAACATGAGCCACTCGAATATGCAACAACATTCAGGTTGTTGAACGCTTTTCTCTACGCCCGGTTGGGTACAAGTAGCAAACCCTAGTTGGGGTTGTACCCCATATTGGCTACCCCACTACAGCCTACCAACATATAACACATTACACTTTAACACACCCCCATAGGCAAAGTGGGGGAGAACAAAGGGTCACAAGACCAGTCCAGCAAAGCAACGCAAGCCCAGGGTGGATCACAACGTCACCACACTCCGAGCACAAGCAAAGGCCACAAGGCCAGTTCACATGCAGTGCTAGATATAGTACAAGACAAGCAACACAGTGATCAAAACCTAGCAAGCAAGCAACAAGATATATATAAAGTACAGTACAAAGAATGTCAAGCAGTCAGCAAGTGAGGAAACGTGGACACAAGGCCTAAAGAAGTACAGTGCCGCTGATGATCACTAGGCGGGAGCGCCTTGGTGAAGATATCAGCAGTGTTGGCCTTCGAGTCCACGTACACAAGCCGAAGCTGACCGCGCTGCTGAAGCTCTCGAGCAAGAAAGTAGCGAAGAGCAATGTGCTTCGTCCTGTGCTCCAGTCTGTGCTCCTGACACAAGGCAAGAGCCGCCTTGTTGTCACCGTACAGAACTGGAGGAGAACTAGGCCACTCTCCCAAGTCAGTCAGCAGGTAGGTGAGCCAGCGTAACTCCTGTGCAGCCATGGCTGTGGCGTAGATCTCAGCCTCACAACTAGAGCCGAGAACAGAGGAAGAGCGGGTGGACCGCCACGAGACAGAACCAGAGCCAAGGCTGAAGGTGTAACCCTGTGACGACCGCTGCGTAGCCAGGTCGTCCACCCAAGAAGCGTCCGAGTGACCAGTGAGGACAACTCTGTCACGTCCTCCAAGCACCAGCCCCATGCCTGATGTACTGCACAGGTAACGCAGCACCCTCTTAGCAGCCTCCCAGTGCTCTCGCCTGTGTCTCCCAGGCGCAACGTAACGAGCAAGGATGCTAAGAGGGTACGCGAGGTCAGGTCGCGTGCAAGTCATCAGGTACATGAGGCAGCCTACAAGCTCTGGGTACGGGCCACTCGGCTCTACGGACTCGTTCGAAGGTGGAGCTGAGAGCGAGTGGCTGGTAGCCAGAGGTGTGGCCTGTGGTGAGGAGAACTGGAAGCCGAAGCGCTGAAGGACCTGCTGCACCATGTGTGACTGAGTCAGGGTGATGGTGCGGCGAGCTCTGTCCCGGGTGATCTGCAAGCCAAGGTAGCTACGCAGTTCACCCAGGTCAGTGCAGGTGTGTCTCTTCTGCAGCTCCGACTTCACACGAGCGAGTGCCTCAGTGTCAGCAGTAGCAAAGACCAAGTCGTCGACGTAC